ACTAACTGTTTTCGATTTAGAAGAAACTGAATCTTAAATTCCTGCAAGTAATTATAAATATGAAAGAGATAGAATAGTAATAATTGTTTTTTGTAATATCTAGGTCTGTTTTCAACTCATATTTCCACAATTCGTAAGTATATGGTAAAATACACGACAATAGTGAAGAAGAAATAATATCATGCTTGTAGTATTTAATCAATACAACCCTGCATATACATTAAGCGTTACTTAGTTAAGGGTTAAAGTTCCAGTTAAATTTAACGTTTATTCAACTGAACTATCTAGCACTTTGTTCCTAGTAACTTCTAAACATTTGGTATTACGACTTAAGATAATTTTCACACAACAAACTCTGGGATATAAATCACATAACAGCTTCCCATATTCATAATTATTAATATACAGTAATGGAAATAATTATGCAAATATACAATCGATACTCAATCAGGAGTTACATACCGTGAGTTATCACAACCAGTTGGTGAATTTCTTAATGGTAAAAATACAAAATAAAAGCTAATAAGTCGTACAATGCACTAGTCTTTTGCATATAAGTTTTTGCTACACAGAGCATTACATCTTGTTTCCGTGCTGCCATACAGTTTATGAAGATACAATTATGGAATATTATTCCAAATATCCTGTATTATTCCTCATAATTCAGCCAACTTGTTTGGTCTCCTTATGATCTTCTCATCTTTTCACGCCAGCTCATATATATAGAACACCCCCCCCCAGTGGCACAGCGGTATGTCTGCGGACTTACAACGCTAGAAACCGGGTTTCGATACCCGTGGTGGGCAGAGCACAGATAGCCGTTGTGTAGCTTTGTGCATAATTAAAAACAAACAAACAAACATATATATATAGCTTAATGATATTATTAACGGGATTTCATCCAGGCTAACTATGGTTGTGTGTGTGTGTGTGCGTTCCATCAATATCTTTACCATCAAGATATCGCTTCATCACATCTGTTGTACGCTAGGGATCACTACTTTGATAAACATTGTTTTTTGTTTGTTTATTGAATTTTCGTGCAAAGCCACTCGAAGTTATTTGCGCTAGCTGTCCATAATTTTGATGTGATAAACTGGATGAAATGTAGCTTTTCAATACTTCCCATCAATGACTCTAGGACTACTACTTACCAACGAATGGTGCTCTTGGTGGAATGGTATGATGGATCAAAATATGACTGTACTCCTCAGCAGCTAGGGTGTCATACATTTTGTTTATTTCATATACACAGATGCAGTCCTCATACAGTAATAACCCCCACCATGATTCACTGAGGTTTTGAGATGCAGTCCTCATACAGTAATACACCCCACCATGATTCACTGAGGTTTTGAGATGCAGTCTCATACAGTAATAATCCCCCACCATGATTCACTGGGGTTTTATACATTGTCTATGATACCGTTTTTTTCTCAACTGCCAAATAAACTGTCGTTGAATGTTGCCAAACAATTCCCTTTCCGATTCAACTACAAGTATTACACGACTCTAGCTTGGATTATTCCACTGTGCCGTCATGATTCACCGTGGTTTTTGTATATTGTCTATGATACCGTTTTTTTCTCAACTGCCAAATAAACTGTCGTTGAATGTTGCCAAACAATTCCCTTTCCGATTCAACTACAAGTATTACACGACTCTAGCTTGGATCTTTCCACTGTATATAACCCAGTTCCCTTTTCAGTTTTTTGGTTTGGTTACCTCTCTTTAGCAAAGGTTTATAGAGATAACTTTTACACCTGTACTTAAAGAAATGTCTTCGACAAGATCTAGACTCGATTTTCGTCTATCTCGTAAATAGTATACTAGGAGATGCCGAACATAATTTGTTTTCTACTTCGACCACTTCTATTATAATAGTGCTAGTTTCACGTAGTCACTTTAAGAGTCTTACATAGAACTCCTAATGAAACATGGACCTTTTTGCAATTTTTCACATAGAGTATCCTTGACCAGCCAAAACTTGGATTTCTTTGACTTTGTTATGCGGTATTTCAGTCTTGGAGGCCATGACTGGATTCACTCTACTAGACATAAAGTGACTGTTTTTACTTTTATAGGCTTTGTACTGGTATAACACTTTCTAATTGGTTGGATCACAACCAGTTACACTGTAAAACTATCAGTACTTTAACTTGTCTTACTTTTATAGTCTGAATTAAAATAATTTCGTGCACCTTATTTGGATCCACTCTGAGACAAGTATAGAAAAAAAAACAATTTCAAGAACAGTTACCATATTTCTCAAAATCTCAAGTAAGAAAAGAATTGACGAACTACGACCTACTACGTTCATACACAAATTCAAAATCATCTTTTTTGTTCTTTGATTGGAAAAGGTTTGTTTGTTGCTAATCACAAAACTACACATCTCTGGTATCGAAACCCGATTTTTAGCGTTATAAGCACATAGACTTATAGCTGAGCCATCGAGGAGCGAGTTGAAAATAATATCAAGAAAATTTTTTTTATATCGTTAAGACATACTAATGTCATTAAAAACGTTAAAAACAAAAATTACCTCGATAATTTCTCTTTTTAGTTTCTTCCAGCCTAATAATTTATATACAAAAAACAGATTAATAAATTCTAAATGAAGGTATATGTTCATATGGTTAGTTGGAAAACAATTACATCACACACTGGAAAGATGTCTCATGGGTAAGAATATATAGCTACTCTAAGCTCTGAGTCTTCTCTCATTGATCTTATAATTATATAAAAACATGTAAGCGAAACGTTTTACGGTAGATTATTGAAAATAAAAGATAACAAGAAGATACATCTTAAAAATGAACTCTAGGCGCTATTTGTTTTATCGCAAAGCTACACAATAGGCTATCTACGCTCAATCCACGAAAGTGAATCGAACTCCGGATTTTAACGTTACAAGTCATTAAACTTTACGCTGACCACTGGGGGCCACTATGTGTTGAAGCTAAACTTAAGACATTTGTGGTTTGTTTAACACTGAGACGTAAATAATTATTTTTTTAAGTTAAATTAGTTGTAGAAGTACATTTTGATTGCTATGAAGATAACGTAAAAACGTATATTCACTTTGAATGAGTAAAATACAATAATTATCTATTTGGATTACATAGTCTTAAAACGAACATAAGTTTATGTTAAAAGTATTGTGATTACTGTGAATTTTTTTTCTATTTTAATTTCTGAGTATTACGTTTGTTTGTTATTGTTGTTGTTTTCTTTCTTTGTTCTCGCTGTTGTTGTTGTTCCTTGTGGGTTTTTTTCTTTTTTTTTTTGGGGGGGGGGGCTTCGTACCACACTAATGCAACTGTCAATATTCCCAGATACAAAAAATACCTTTTGACAGATAATTCTGAAGTAATAAAAGACATTAATGCCCATCTGACAAATATTACGATACAGAGGTAACTTTTCGTTGTACTAGGTTATGCTACTGCTCAGGTGTTTAATTTAAACAAATCGAGGAGTAAAGTCAAAAGTGCAATAACATCTCGAACTGGTTATTAAAACGGCGTAATCGTTTAAAATTACGAATAATGCCAGATAAACATGAAAATATCAAAATAAACCCAATTTAAGAAAGAGATTCAGTTGTATAATTAATAGTTTTAGTATGTAAATTCAGCTTTTTTGCCTGTAATGTTTGAGACACGAATGAAATTTTGCTATATGTTAGTCGCGAATTTTGAGCATTACTTCCAATAAAATCAGTTTACTATTTTAATGTTAACCTAGTATTCCTGACGAAAGAAACAGTTCGCTTACAATTTAAAGTAAATGATCGTATGCATTTGCAGTTAAATTAGTCTTAATATGTAGGATGTAAACTACGCGTATTGGTTTTGTAGAATATTCGTGGCTGTTATATTAAGTTTTTATCGTTATTATTAATCATCTCTGGTGTGTTATTTTGACCACATTCATGCCATGTTTTAGACTTATATCAAGTCATTTATATTTATTACTTGAATATCCCATCATGTATCATTTTAACCAAAACTGTGGATATTTCTTTTTATATTTCAACTCTAAACGGTATTTTAACGTTTACGTATTACTTACTATAAATGTTCACTTTATCTCGTAAACATTTATCATTTTGTATGAGATTATTTCATCCTTGCGTCACCAAAAACATCTGTCGCAAGAATATCATTAAGTTCCTTTGATCGTTTAAAATGAAAAGTGCCATTAATTTAGCCTATTCTATATGCTATTACAATACAGATTAACCTGCCCCCAATGGTTCAACTGTAAGTCTGAAGGCTTATAACATTAAAAAAACCAAGTTTTATTACTCGTGGTGGGCATAGTACAGATAACCCTTCCTTTAGTTTTGCGCTTAACAACAAACAATTTACAATCTTTGATCACTCCATGAGAATATTTTATCTAATTAATGACTTATAGTTGAATGTCACAGAATCATTTTTAATGACTAATTTTTCTGTTTTAGAATATTTTTCATCGTAACGTTTATCATTACTGTTGTTAAGGGCGGCTAATACACATTACAACTATCCAAAACAAACCAATCTTTTTTCCGATTCGAAACTTCCTCCATCTTAAATGTATTTGATAAAAAAATAACTTTTATTTTACTTGAGCACATTATGCTAATATAACAATAAGTTGGCAAACAATAACTTATAAGCATAATGAAGTAATTTATTAGGGGGGGGGTGGACATACTACATATTTCGACAAAACATGTTTCTTCTTACCTGAAGACAGATGAATTCTTGTTGAAATATGTAGTATGTCCCCCCCCCCCCAAAAAAATAAATAAATCGTTGTATGCAAATTTATTATTACTTCAATTTTAAATGTAATCAAATAAACTGGTATAACTCACCTTATGTACCATATAAGCTTTCACACTAAATTTGTGTCTGATTATAGTTTATAGAACACTTATCACGCTGGAGTTTCTATAAATGTGATACGACAATGTGCAATGTAAAAAAAAAACAACCAAGTTTATTTCTTGTTATTTGTCCAGTGTATTTTCGTAGTGTTTCCAACTTTTGTTACATTTTACAACATTTTCCATATATAATGACGCAAAACACTTTCACATCTTAACAAAGGCATAACATCGTCAGTTTTTGTTTTAGAATTACTTTCTTTCGGTGACTATTTCTAATCATGTTAATAAGTTAAATGGACAAACAAATAATACAATCAGTTTCATACAACCAACAATCTTTTAGGAACTCGCTAATTAAAAGAGTCGTTATACCACTTATCAGAAATAAAGGATTTTCTCTCTAAAAAGCTTTTTTTTTTAACTTCTATGGTGCTACTTAAACATTAATATAGATGGCACTAAAATCGTTCAATAACAATCACATAAAACTATCAGTAAAATTCCACTTTTACTTTGGACCATAACTGTGAACTTTCTTTTCTGAACTATTCACATCTATATAACATTTTTTTTAATTGTATGTATCCATGTTTACTTGATTTTAGACTTCAACGGTGTTTTATAAAGCAACTTGAAATTTTGCATGTCGGCTTTTGGCGTCCATAGAATACAAACGAAAAAAAAAACAATTTTTGAAAGAATTTTGAATAGGCCAAAATAATTTATATCAAAGAGTGATGGAGGCTCTCAGATTTACTTTAAATTGGTATTAACATGTGAATAGAAGTTTCAGATCCATAATCTAAATCCAGGTTTTGAAAACTTTAAAAACTGAGTCCCCATAGGATTTTGAGATTCTCAGAAATAGATTTATTGATTTACATAGAAAATGGCATGGAAACGTAAGGAGGAACCCTTAACATATATATCTAGATCATAATGGGGCGCCTTCTGGGGTCTTCGGATTGACTGTACGGGTCTATTTACACGAACATGTAAATTGTCGAGTCGTTCGAAACAAGGTGTGAGAATTTTTTCGTGCATTTCTTGTTTCCACGAACTTTCACAAAGACGCAAGGAAATATGAGGCTTGGTTTAATTAATTCACCATTCTATTTACGAAAATATTGATCGTGACTACGAAGCGAAAATCTACCGCAACAATATTCAATCTTCACACCACCAATCCTAAATAATTGTATTATGAGTAATAACAATTCAAGTAATTTTGCTTCATCACTTTAACACGTTTACAAGTGCTATAGTACAGTTCTGTTCACGTGCTAACAATCCAACTAACTACACTTCAAAAATAAATAGCAAAATACATTTTTCACATAAATTATATATATACATTTCCTCCCACAAATAAGTCGGAAGATAGTTTGCATTTCGTAAGTTATTCACTGGAAAACTACAAATATTGATTAGGTCAACCATTTTTTGACATAGTACTAGTTTTGGTTACAAGAAACTTACGCAATTAAGTTAATTACCTGCAAACGTAGAAAATCATAGAATGCGGTGTTAAGCAAACAATAAATATTACTCTCTGATTAATACATCACCATACCTTAGTAATGAATAACAACGCAAAAAAAGATAAATTAGAAACTACTAAATTACTGAATCTGTTACCAACAAGCCGTAACTTAATATGACTGTCTTCTAGACTTATTTTCAACAGATAAACCCAAATATATATATTTCTACAAATGATATTCACCCTCAAATACATCTATCGACCAGAAATACATATTTATCATATGAAAGCGTTTCTATTCCGAACACTCTATTGCCCACAAAATAAGTATGGATGAAAAAAAGGGCATAAGCTTCATGAAGACCTTTTACACACAGTTTTTATTAAATAGCTTTTGGTTTTTTTTAACATATTTAAATTTCGCACTACTTTAAAAAACTGTTTTAAACAAAGCAGTTTAGTTGCTGTTAAGTATGACGATACACTAGCACAGTTGCTGTTAAGTATGACGATACACTAGCACAGTTGCTGTTAAGTATGACGTTTGTAATTTCGTGTACTTCCTTTCTTCTCATTAAGACATTTTTTTTCCAAGTAGCTGTCGTATCTCACTTGCAATAAATTTGTTTTTAATGAAGTGTTAACGTATCCATTACGTTCATTTCGACGTTTTTATTCCAAGTAACTGATGTATGTCACGTGCAATACATTTGTTTTTAATGAAGTAATCAAGGTATTCTTTCACTTCCTCCTTCGCTTTGTTTTGTTCTCCTGAGCAAACTTTTGTTGTTTTGCGTGTTTTTATTTACCCATACTGATAAGTAAGTTCTGTATCAGGAATCTTTTATGAAACAGTTATTAGCCGTAGCTTTTTTTTTACACTTTTGGTTCATTTAAATACAAGTTTAAATTTGAATGTTATTCGTTCGTTCGATCTCTTACGAAATTAATTGTTAAATTTCTACTTTCTAACAAATTAGCTATATCTTCTTTCTCGTTCAGCACAGCTGCCTCCAGAGGAGATATACCAGAGTAATCCACGGCATTTGGGGAAGCCCCGATCTTTAATAGAAGCTGAACAATGGATTTGTCGTTGTTCATCACAGCATGAAACAGGGGAGTTCTTCCGCTCTTCCCGTCCTAATAAACAAATATTCATTAGCGGTTAATGTATAGAATCAAAATTGTCATCCCTCTTGTTATTATTCAAATATTACCGTGAAATTTGTCCGCTAACATAAAATAAAGGGTGTTTTATATACACTGATTTCTGAATGGAGAGTTACGAAAAATATAAATAAAAACCTCACCCAATACATAGTAATACGTAAGTTAGGTTGAATGTAATTTTTAGTATAACATCTGGCAATTATTTTCAAATATGGTTAATCAAATTACAAGCAAGACGTACTTGTGTGTGCGCGCACATATATAAAGATGTTCTACATTTTTTCCAGATTTAAATTGAAGAGTATCTAGCAGCTAAAGAAAACTTATACTTCACCTTAAGAAAAAAAAAGACCATAAATATGACATCATAGTCTCTACTTCACCACGCAAAGAACTATTTCAAGGTAGCAGAATTTAAAAGGTTCAAAGCGTTTGTTCCAAATCATATTAGTTAACCTGTTTATCGTTATAAACATAACATAAAACAGAAGTACACAAAAAACAGCAACACATACCTGTACATCGATATCACAGTTTGCCTTGACTAGATACTTGATTGCAGCAATAGCCCTGTTTGTCACGGCGACATGCAACGCTGAATATCCTGAAATATATAAAATAAACCAGATGTATTTACAAACGTTCTAATAGAAGTGCATCTCTAGGAAATGTACTTCTTAAAACAGTATAGTATTTGCTTGAAATGTGTTGCAAGCATAAAGTGTCGAGAGAAAACTATACTACTCACATTCTCCTAAAGACGAGTTTAATTACTATAAGTAAAAGTAATGCTTAATTTTTAAAATAATTCACTCAAAAACTGTGATTCTGTTGCAGGCTCCTTTTTTTTTGTTTCTCACAAGTAGGTCATACGTTCACAGCTATTTTGGACAAAGTATTAAAGGCAATAACCAGCTTTTCAAATGCAAGTTATTTATCTTGGTCACTGAAAGCCTCAGAACACAAAAATTAAACTTAAAGATTAGTATGATTTTATTCCGACTCAACTTTATCTTTACGATGACAAAATATCCAATTAATGAACCACATTCTATCCTTAAGAAGTTCAGTTTTCATGAACACTTACTTAAGATGTTTCTATTTGTGACAACGTAGTTTCTGAATTTATTCCTAATGAAGGAGAACAAGATAAAACCCATAACGTCGAAATATACTTACCATCATAATTAAGTGAGTTTACGATCTGACGTGTAAGTCTGTTGCTAAGAAGAACCCTTAAACACTCTAGCCTCTTATATTTGACAGCAAGGTGTAAACATGTATTTCCATAACGATCCCGTAGCTTAGGAGAAGCGTCCTCTTCTAGCAAGATTTCTACAAGGTGTTGATTACCTACAATGACCGCTAGGTGCAACGGAGTCTTAAAACAAAAAAGTAAAGCTCTATTAATTACCATAAAATATTAATAAATGATACTGAACAATACAAAAAATTTCCTGCGGTTTTATAATTTATAGGAAAAGTTCAGAAAATATGTAAATTGAGCAATTAGGTCGAATCTCTGATAGCACAAAACCAAAGTTTCAATTTTCCATATTTCTTTCGCTATAAGGTAAAATAGTGTTACAAGATACGTCTTCAACTTATTTTTGTGAAATTGTATTTCCATTAAATCCTACTACATAAGTCAGAAGATAAAAAAAATTCCCAGTAGTGTAAAATGAAATTTACTTGACACAGCATTTGTATAATATAATATTTATGTTTTATATTTCATTGGCGTTACAGTTCAGGTAAAGAATGTGGTTTGGCTTAATTTATATTTTTTGGGTTGTATCAAAACTTTTCCTATATTTATAAAGTCTGTAATCATCAGATGACGGATGAGAAAGGTAGCGCTACAGTAGCTTTGTTCTTTATTCTCCTTATTAATTGTAACACATTTTTATGAAATGTCGGACATGACTCTGGCACTTCCTGGAGTGCCCCCTCGCAGACCCCAGTTTTGGACACGCGTACCCAAATAGTTTCAGGATCTAATATGTTTTATAAATTTAAAAAGAAAACATCCCGATCTTTGACACAGAATAATTACGAACAAGATACTTTACAAACATAATTTTCAATTTATTTATACATAACAAATTATATTTGCTATTTGATTTTCACTGAAAGTAATTTCACGACCTTCTATTTTACGTATCCCGCCACGAACACTTCGTAATATTAAGTTAGATACAGTTTTTTTACAATACAACAATGCGTGCAATTAAAAAGTAAAATTTGTCTTGTAAGTATTAGAAAATACTTTGGATAGGTAAAGACATTTAAAACATGAAATCATACAGAAATTGTTATTCGTGTCTAATAAATTATTCTACTAACAACAAATCGCGGAACAATTTTTTTTTAAAGCCAAAATGTTATAAGAGTTGAAAACTGATTTTAAGAAAACTAATTCGCTATGTTTCTTTCATTTGTTTATTCAGTAACAGCCTAACGACGTTTTGGCTCATAAACCATTCTCTTCCCCTATAACAATTACATAGCATTTTCAGTATTTCAAAGCCCTACATCTTCTAAACCAATGGCAAGATATTTCCGATTTTCTCTGTTACACAAAATAGCAGAGAAAACTGGTTTCATTTGGAAAACATGACCAAAGTATGAATTTGAATTTCTTCGAAAAACAAAACTTGTTTCATACAACAAACAGTACCAGCTTACCCTTTCTCCTACCGAAGAAGCAAAAAAATATGAAAAGAAGAAAGAAAATGATTACTATATATCAGGCTCGTGAAAAATAGCCCAACCAGCATTTTCAATCTGACAGTAAAATACGATAATTAACACAAGAAACAATGAGAAACGTGTCAAAGTTATAACACGCAGTTTCCGGTGCTTGTATTGTTGGGAATTCCCAGTGTTTGCTAAGGTAAAAGAACGTTTCATTAACGATAGGTTATTATCTTAGTACAAACAACGTAAAGTCTAAAGGTAACTATTGACTCCGAACAAAATTTCAGTCATTCATCCTTCCGTACAGTCAACCGTAGAATTAATATGCAGCTATCGTTCTATGCTGAGGGTGTTATCCAAGTTTTGTACAAAGTTCTGGCAGTGTCCATTTTTACATTATAATAAAACAAAGAACGCAAGCAAATGTATATATATATGTGTGTATGTATATAGACGAATCATAAAATGATGTTTAAAAGTTGTGAACAGTAGCCAAGTAGAGTAAGAAATGAACAAAATAACAATCCCAGTTACAAGTTGTAGCCCATCTCTGCGTATAGAAATTTAAAGTTAAGTCGTTGTTTATTCCAGTATATAAATTAAAAGTATATTATTTTTTTTATATTTACAGGGCACTCCATATTGCAACAGTTCACGAGGATGTTCTGCTGGTTAAGCGGCTTTGCGCTCTGATGAAGAGCGTAGGGGCATCGGTAGATGTGTTCAATTACCTACGACAGGTAAGCAAATTTTGTGACACGTTGCACCCGATTTTTTTTGACGTTAACTTTAACCGTGTTTGTCTCATTAGATCGTTATTGAAGGCTGCGTGATAATTTTGTTGTTCTATAGCTTTCTTGACACACAACCTTTTCCGTGAGACTTCCACTAATAAAGTGATTATTGTTCAGCACTATGAACAAGCTGTGTTGTAAAATTTACATTTCATTACCACCTGTACTAAAACATTTGTATGAATTTCACAAAATATTAACTGTTAATCGCAGGATCCTTAGCCTAAACTATCGAATATTAGGCGAGAAAGCTTTTGGTACAAATGACTCGTGGTTAGTATACTTTTAATTAAAACAAATATACCCTCTGTGCATGTAAAAAAATAGTATACTTTTAATTAAAACAAATATACCCTCTGTGCATGTAAAAAAATAGTATACTTTTAATTAAAACAAATATACCCTCTGTGTATGTAAAAAAATAGTATACTTTTAATCAAAACAAACACATCCTAATTGTTATCAGATATATTTCATGAACTTAATTATGTTCTGATATTATTATATGTGATATATATTGATTTAATACAAACAGTCACCCCCGGTGGGTCAGCAGTAAGTTCACGACCTTACAATGATAAAACCCAACGTTCGATTCCTTGCGATGGACAGAGCGCAAATACTCCTTTGTGTAGCTTTGCGCTTAAAATAACAACCAAAATATACTAATATTCATTAAAACATATAACCATTTTTCTATTCTCATATAAAAGTCATAGAATTTTTTTCTTGTATGATTACTAAATTAACTTACATTTTAGTAATTGAAAAAAGCAACAACAATTATTTGACTTAAACAAAGCTTTTTCCTTATATGTGCGAAAGAAACAATTAGATTGACGAACTTCGAATATTTTCTTTCCTTAATTTAGAATAGTTATCTATAATAGCAGTCGTTGTTGAAAAATTACACGTCAAGTTCTTAAAAAATAAGAATAAAAGGTCACTGAATGTTCTGTTTTTCTCAGTTTTGTGGGACTAACAGTGCAAAGGAACGCGTTATATTTTAAGTAGTAGAAAAATATAGTAGTGGAATATATTTCACAAATCCTAATCTGTCTATCAGATGTAATAAAAATTTCTTCTTCCAAACTAGATAAATACCATAAGTGTTTACCCTTTCGTTGGGAAAAACCCTTGCTGTAATTTTGATTGTGAAATAGTAAAGAGAAAAAGTGAAGCAATCATCATTTATGAACGCTCTTCTTCTTACAGATTACACAGTTCAATATTCCTTAGTATACAAAAGTATATATATCTGCCTTTCGAAAGTTTTTAATTTAAATATGTTTTCGAACATTTTCAAGATTCAGTAACACATTTTCAAGATTCAGTAACTATCTGGATAAAATTATTCCAGTACTGTATCGAAAACCAAATCTTTTGAATGCAATTCCTGTCTTGTCCTTTAAATTAAAAAATGTTTCTGTTTCCAAGTATACATTTCCAAGTACATATTTCGAGAAGTCAGTCAACTTTACTTTGTACCTGCTCTTATTGCAATAATTTCTTTTTTTTAAAAAAAAAAAAGCTAAGCGGATACAGTTTAACAAGTAATTGTCATGACAATACTTCTAAGAACAGTTTTAGAAATTGTTCTATAGAACTTTTAAAAAAATCCCTAAATATCGCAACAATAAACGTTTAAGGTTTTTACTCTATAAGTCAATACAGGTTGGAACCGAAGAGGTAGTCATTAAGGCACATACTTAACTCAAAACTCTTCACAGATTGGAGAGATAAGAAACCTTGTCTACACTATTTAAACTTCAATACATACTAAAAACATGTCCCTTAAAGGAAGCGCACATTTAGGATAGTGTAGAAGTTAAAAATAAGTTGTTGTTTTTTTTTGAAGCACGTGTGTACACAATGAGATATTCAATACTATATTTTGAAGAAGCATATTTCACAAAGTGTACGTTAACTTAATAATTATACATGTTGAGAAGAGGCTTAGTAAAAGAACGGGTTCATAATTCAAGATTATATACACGTTGATGAAACTTTCTGTGTGCCCAATCTGTGTTTTTATACAAGCTTAAAATATCTTGTATGGAAGACAAGCAAGTACATTTTAGAAGTATTAATGGTAATACTGTATGAGCTTTTTTGCTGTTGCTGTTGTCTTGAAAGACACCAAACAATAGACGACTATTCTCATTATATTATCGGAATATTAATGTGCTTTTCAAAAAACTAGAATAGCTAAACATTTATCTACGTTTATTCGATAAGAACATTTGTAACACTATTGTTGCTGTAATAACTAAATAACTAGCAATTTGTTTTTACGCGTGTGTTCTGAATATTGATTACGAAAGGTAGTAATTTAACAGGCGAACGTACTGTTCTGTGATTCAGGCACTGACAGTCTTGTACATTATGGTAAAAACAACTTGAGAATTAAATATTATGCCTTGACCTCAAATAATGGATATTTAACATTATAATTCAAATGGATACACGAAAACAATCCAGCTAACATAAAGGATATCTCAAAAAACACAAAGAAAAGTATATTTCTTTTCTTTTGTCCAGAATTATGAAGACATTGACACACACACAAACGTACGTAGTTAAACATATAGAAAAACACACTTTCGAAATTAGCTTCTTTTTGATCTATCTAAATACATATAAATATAAACAAATATTTGTACACAAGTATATGCTACTTTGTTTCAAAATAGATACGAAAACATTTGGCAAAACAAAAGCTAGCCAACGTGAGTAAACTATCTTCACAAGAACTAAAATCATCCATTAATATTCTGTGCTTAAAAGGCTCCCTTTTATGACTTCTAGGACGATAGCTTAAGGATATATTATGTATATATATGTGATAGGTTCAGGCAAATACGTAGTACACTCAATTGAGTTGGAATAATTTAGGTTGTTTAATATTGCTACATAAGGAGTATTCAGAAAATTAAGAGCAAAAAAATTATCATAGTTTCAGAAGTTGTCTGTTTACAAAAGGTGGGTCGAATTTATTGTTGATGTAAGACGTAACGTTTAAAAAATTAACTTTATATGTTGTAAACTGAAATAATAATAACGTACTCAGTATCAGGAATATACTTATCTTTAGGAAATGTGTAACAGACTATCATTAGTATGTGCATATATTTATTTATTTACTACTTTCAAATTAAAATTAATGTAGTCTAATGACATGCATGTTTATAAGTATGAATAAAAATATATATATATTATTCAAGGTATGTCCGTTGAAATGTTTTTGAAGTATTATATGTTCATCAAAGAAGAAAGAAATGCCATTACAATAATAAGGAGAATTTGTACACGGTTCACACATTAAATCTCCACTAAATAGTTATACGTGTGCTTAGTGCATTTCGACAAATAGATAAATCATAAAGCCGTTAAAAACGTATAGTGTGAAACCACCCAGTGACTGCTGACAAATATTCAGTATTCTGCCCAATGGCAAAGTAGGTACAATTAAAATCAACCACCTACTTTGGATTTTTTAAAGTCGTGTATACTATTAAACACCTGTATTAGAACACAACAAGTTTACTTTTATTTCTGTGAAAGGATTAATATTTAAATCTGTGTTAAAATATTTAGGATCTTGTGTTTCGTCAGGGTAATTTAAACAATTATTATAAAACTCTTTTGAGTAGCTTTGGAAAAATTTCCTCTATCTTTTAACTAGTACATAAAATACAAAACTTACCTATCACCATCTTTATCAGCTATCATACAGTACTGGATGTCGAGGTTTCTCTGTTCTTCACGAGTAACTTCACCTTCTATTGAAACAGTTTCTTTGGTGTTAATCTCTTTAAATATTTCACATGTCGGTTCCTGAGATAAATTATTTCTATTCGAACAATAATAAATTGACGAATCAGTTGTTTTCTGTTTGTATGAAATAGCATCCTTCGTCGCTTGACCGTCACTGGACAATTTATTTAAATTCTGTAACATAACCATATCTTCGAAAAATACTTCTTCGGGTAATGGCTCTTCACATAAACACTCTGAAGCGTTGGTATCAATTTGATTTGACCAATCAGAAATGGCAATACTATTATCTGCCAGACTGGCGAACCCCGAGTCTTGACTAACTATGGGCTGGAATTCACGCGTAGTGGTATCCATTGTGTCGAGACGGGAAAAGCCCTGGCCCTGGCCATGGTTGCTATCTAGGTTATATGTTCCACCAGATATCTTATGCGTGAATGAGGTTAGGTCATTTTCATGAGCATTTTCACTAAAAACACTTGACTCTTCACTAGCATTAGATATAGCAGAATTCAAATACTGATTTGGATATTTTGTGTTATCTGACTCAGAAAACCGTCCATGTATTCCTCGCAAGAAATGTTTTATAGGTTCTATCTCACGTGTATAGCACGTAACATTTGGCGGTGAATCCTCTTTTAAACTCAGAATCGTAGGTCTCACAAGCTGTTTTTTTAGTTCTCCTTTGGAAGGATCTGAAATAGTTCTTAACCTTTTTCTTTGTAAAAAATCACCGTTATGTTTCACAAGGTCTAAGAACACTTTTGTCTCCGAACTTGTTCCCACTGATGCTTTTATAAATTTGGTAGCACCCAAATTACGGTTGGCGCTGGACAAATTTTCGGTATTGTGTTTACGTTTCGAATAACGGGGAAGATCCCCTGTAATAAATGGAAACTGGGAGAGGCAAGTGACATCTTTTGTTTCCTGACTTACTAAACCACTTCCTTCTGATTGCCCACAACTCATTCCTAGTCCGTTATGTTTAAACTTCGCGCTAGAGTCGTCCATTGGTAGGTTAAAAACTCCAGGCAAGTGATATACAGGAAATTCCAACACACTTTTCGTGGTACTAGTAGCTTACGCTATACACGCGTATAAACCCCTGCTCTGTTGTATACCGGAAAAACGAGCGGAAACAGAGGAAGATATATATGTAATAATGAGTGTGTGCAAAAAATTTGTTAAAATATGTGTGATAAACTTACAAAACTGTTATCTCGTTCTGAAACGCTTCAATCATGGGTGGTAATATCACACGGTTTCAAACAGAGTTCAAATACGAAAAAGACGACGGCATGCCAGCTCTCGTAGGTTTGGATAAATAATCGATTACTCCGAATAGATGTACTAGCCACCCTTTTTACTTTGTTAACGTACTCTTCAACTCAGAAATTCTTACGCAATTGGTGATTCACAGTCACATGACACACTCAGGTTTCGAACAGTTTTCTGTAGAATTCCTGTTGGAACTAGAAAATATTTTTATTCCTTCACTAATGCTGCACACAATGGTCGTTGTTACATTCTAGCTTTGGTTAGTGAAAATATAGTTTGTCTTAAGTTTTAAGTAATTTGTCAGACTTTTACTTAAGTACCAGTAATGTGATGCAAACACGTTTACATTTAACTGTCACAAAATAATAGAAGACATTGGTATTTCGTTAAGCAAAACACGAGGTAAAAACAATGGGACGATTATGACACGTTTTTTGCAACTTTAGCTTTTACAGGGCACTTAATATTTATTACTTAAAATAAGATGACACAGACTTATTAAACTGAAAACACTGCATACCACTGTAACTATTTGTTTACGAAAGGCGCCAAATGGGAGACCAATGTTAACGTTGAATGAAATGCATTTTAGCTCTTTGTTCGCTATTACGTGTTTGATGTTTGAAATATGTACTACAGTTCTTGGCTAACGACAGTACACGTACTAGGGATTTCCCAGAGTAGCAATGAAGTCATGCTATAATACAAGATAAACAAAACGCCTGATTGATCGAATAAGGTAACATATGTGAGCATGCGTTAGATAATGACGTCACCTTGCGTCAAAACTTGTATATGGATCGTGATGAACAGCGTCTATGCATTACGTCATTGCTGCCACCAATTAAAAACACGTTGTAGAACTGTGGTTGTGGGTTTTTTGAAGCACAAACGATTGCGCACAATCATTATTTCGGATAAAGTAGCTTTAATAAAGAGTAAACATATTACCGAATTAGATAAAAAAAAAACTAATACATGAACCACTGATCGTTTGGTTTATCAAAGAAGCTATGATGATGATAACAAAACCTTGTTGAAACGTTGTACATTTGCTGTTATGTTAAACTTATATTAGCTGATGATGGCAAAACCTTGTCGAAACGCTGTATATTTGCTGTTATGTTAAACTTATATTAAAGTTTTTCTTCATTACCCATTCCAGCCGTCTCTAAGCATTATTAAAGAAGCTATGAGTTCAAAGATAAAAGTTTACAAATAAGAGGGTAAACTACTGGAAAAGTTATGTTGAAAGTTGAAGAAAAAAGTACAATAATTTCTATTTCAAACATAAATATTTTCAAGGTGAATACGAATCATCACACAATAATTCAAGAAATAAAAACCAACTTCCTGTAGAGTGTGAAATTTTACCAACAAAACAATGTTTCCATGAAAGTATAAAATGAAATATGTATTCTTGTATGGAATTTCGATATTCATCTTTCAAAGAATATAAACACTGACCTGTTCATAAAACACGCACTTGTACATTATATATCCAGCTACACTTAACAAGATGGAAGAAAGACCATTTCCATCAATAATTTTACAGATATATTTTTATATTCGGTTTGGTTTGATTGTTGTTAAGCGCAAAGCAACACAATGGGCTATCTGTGCTGTGCCTACCACGGGTATCGATACCCAATTGACAACGCTGTAAGTCTTCAGTGTTACTGCTGAGCCACTGGGGACCATATTTATATTAAAAGACAATTAATAAAAAATATAGTTTTCTGGAAAACAGCTTGTCAGTCTTATTTCCTTAAAACCTAATTTTAAAAAAATTAGCAAACACAAAAAAGATTGTTACGACCGTTAAGCTTTTTATATTTCATAAAAAATTTGCTATTTCGCTACTTTCATTAATCGTTATTATTTTCAAAGTCCGTTGGCCACAATTTTCATAATGCTGACATGTTTACAGAAATCACCTTGATCTCGAAGCAGAAGTGCATTTGCTGAGAACTTTATTGCCACAGATTCTATTATCCCAGTTTCCATGTGTGTAATGTAATAGTGAGCATACGGTTAATTCCAGTAAAGCACCAAACTACAGGTCAAAACACGTCGGCTAAGTTTATTACTGATAGCTTGGCCTAAACTGAACTTCTGAAGGCAGGTGCACGTGGGAATTTTTCCCTTATTCGTCATAATTCTGGAAAGTATCTGTAAAGTTGCCTAACAGAGAATACGTTACATGTGGTTGTGGGAAAGGAGCTCCCACAACAGTGAGATATATTGGAATGTGCGGGCTCTGTAATCTCAACTGAGTTTACTGTTTACTACATAGTTTTTAATCCTCAAGAACAAGAATTTCCAAACTTTTCATAAGACTTAGTGACACAATGAAACTACCTACTTTGAAATTATTTGAATTTGTGATCAATGATTTACGTGAATATTTCATCTTATTTTCTTTAGTTACATTTCGCATGAAATTAAAGAACGTTAAACTATAAAAAGTTATAAAAATTGCAATTCCAACAAAGTTGAAATCCATAAAAATACGTTTTATTACGTTTTGGCCACATATCCATTTAAACGCCCCAGTACACAAAACTTAAGTTATATGAATGCTAAGAGATTGCAGCTTGATTATTAAGTTTTCCCCTCTCACAAGACATATTAATACAAAGTGTTTATTTGTTTTGAATTTCACATAAAGCTACACGAGGAGGGTTATCTGCGCTAGCCGTCCCTAATTTAGCAGTGTAAGACTAGAGGGAAGGTAGCTAGTCTTGGGCTACTCTTTTACCAACGAATAGTGGGATTGACCGTTACATTATAACACCCCAGGTTGAAAGGGCGAGCATGTTTGGTGGGACGGGAATTCGAACCCGCAACCCTCAGATTGTAATACAAGGTGTTACATTACTTACTGTAAAAGCAATGCAGTCACACCGAAGCTTTTTTCATTTGTATCGATGAAAAAAAAAAACTGGTATAACCTTTGCAGTTCGCTTGCAGAATAAAAACTCAATTTTGTCTGTTCTTTGTTTGTACTTCTTACCTGTGAACTAAGTGCTGTTTGATGCAGACTGTTATCAGCGACTGTACTTTCATACAGAGCAGTGTAAAACCCCATACGCAGGAGACCTTGTAACCTATGTATGTGAGGAAATAAACCCAAGTAAATATCACCACTAGGGTAGGCAAATCTGTTCAAGTGGATTGTAGTAAGGCCACGTGAAGTAATGAAGCATGTTTTACTAGAATATGGACTTGGGGCCACATGAACTGTTGAACAAAGTTTTGCTATATATATATAGAATTCGTAACAATCTTTGATCAAAAGTAAACTATATGTAGAAATCGGAAATAAACAAATATTTTCTTAAATAATGAACCAAACTATATATATATATATAACAAATTGATACGAACTACTTAGTATCATAAGACAGCACAAAAGAAAACTGAAATCTGTAATGAAAAGAATGCATTGCAACATCAACTGGATACCCTCGCTGCTAAAGTGATTTTCATCTATTAACACAGCATGGTACACGACCTGGTGGTTAGGGCGCTCGATTAGCAATCTGAAGGTTGAGAGTTCGCCGAACATGATGTCTGGGGCTGCCATCCGGGTGTAAACATTCCTGACTTACAAAAATACCGGCCGACCCCAAAACATTTGGGATGAAGGTGGTAACAGGGAAAAAAGTATAGAACACATAATCAGCGAAATTGTTAAAGGGAGTTTTTCATTATCGGGTGAAAAGTTTGATAACCGGTGATGGTAGGTAAACCTAACGAAAGGTGTTTACTTGTTTATTCATAAACATGAAAAAATTCAGATTGTAAAGTTCTTCCTGCAGGCCTGGTGGTTAGGGCACTCGAATCGCAATCTGAGGGTCACGGGTTCGAATCCCTGCCACCAAACATGCTTGCCCTTTCAGCCGTGGGAGTGTTATAACGTGAGGACCAATCTCACTAGTCGTTAGTAAAAAGTATCCTAAGAGTTGGAGGTGGGTGGTATTTACTAGCTGCTTTCAATCTAGCCTAATATTGCTAAATCATGGACGGTTAGCGCAGATAGCCCTCGAGTAGTTTTACGCGAAATAAAAAAATATTTCTGTAATAATCCCGATAAAAAGAAGAGAGTTCAATTTACTCAGGCCACATGAACTGTTCGAGTAAGCCTGACTGTATGGTATAAGAGGTTCACCAAGACTGTCCAAGCAAGTTTCACTATGTGATATAGCGGGGACATCTGAATTGTTTGATCTAGTTTCACTATATTATATAGTGTAAGTCCCAGAAAACAACTATCTCTTCTTTTGACAAAAGTCAAACAATAAATACACTAAAATCTTTTTATTTAAAGTGGACTTAAAGCATTAGTACCTCAACCTCAGTACTAACGCATGCGTATGAAATGCCCCATCACAAATTAGTTTCTGCCTATTTTAAGGCAGAAAAACAGTCAAGTATGAATATGTAATAAATTCAATATTTACAGTAGCACAATATTTACAACAAATTCGTAACACAACAGCAGTGGAGTCCATTTGAGTCTTTATTTTGCAGATGAGGATTAAAAATAGTGAAATAAATTTTTGCACTTTTGCTCTCTGTTAATTACTAATATCAAAATTAGTGTGGAAATCACTTATTTTGAGAACGTTAAGGTGTTTTGTTTCTTAAGATTTAAAAAAACATAAAAACAAGTAAAGAAACAAATCACACCATCAAAATCGAATACATCTTATTGTATACGCTTTATATCAATAAACAGTGATAACTTACTGGCAATTTTCAAGGTAAACGCCTATCATCCTCACGTATGTTTCCGAGATACCAATATTACCAAAAACACCTACTACGCAGAATATTTGTTTGAAATTAATCTCAAAGCTACCCAATGGGCTCTCTGTGCTCTGCCCACCACTGGGGAGCAGAATATGACCTCATTAATTCGTCTAAATGTTATACAAATATACAATAAATTCCCTCAACTAATCAAACTTGAGCGTAAACCTAACTAAGACTAAATGAAGTGCTTATAATACACGTTTCTTATTCAGTAAATTCTGTTCATACAAGTGGCATGCTCTTGAAATAATTACCGTGGTAGGACTTAGTAAAATTAAAGGTAAAGGAAGAACAGAAAAACAGGCAATAACAACAACATAAGAGTTGAAATACACGTCTTGGATACTGAAAATATTTTAAATGCGTACTGTGAAGCCATATGTATTATAAACACATAAAATCAATTAGACTGAGCCCAAGAAATCTATGCACGTTGTTTGCCTACAGCTCATGACATAATGTACACAAACAAAGTTAGATATTTTTTTCCCTATTATACATAGCGTAGATATCTCGTAATTAAAGTAAAAGTTTTAATAACCACGTGCAGAAAACCATTCATGCATAAAAAGAATGATAATAGTGATTAGTATATGGGTCAAAATAGTAGCCTTTGACAAGTTTGTATGAACTTGACCTACTATGTTTTCCATAAAGAAAGTATACGAAAATTCCACGCATATTATAAAAACTCACAA